GTCCCAAAAAGGTCCCGACCTTTTTGGGACACCCTGTATATATATAATTGTATTTCGGTGAAACATACATAATATCGTAATAGTTACTTGAATATTATTATATTTTGATTTCATATTGACATGAAAAATACAGGAACGCTATTGTGCCCTATTTTAACGGAAACAAATATCTTGAAAACGAAAGAATTTACACAAAAATGGTTTACAAAAATTATTTAATTTTATTTCTCATTACTGTATTGTTCAAAATGTGGAGTCGTTGTCTTTAATAATCACCTTTTTTAAAATAGAACTATATTTTTCTTAATTAATTTTAATCCAGCGAGTTTTATAACTTTGTAAAAGTAATATTATATTAATATTATCGAAAAGCGGACACTTTATAAACTATTTTTATATTTTATAGTAATATATTTTATAATATTAAAGTAATTTTTTAATTTATTTGTTAATGTAAATTTTGCATAGATCGTTTTGTGTAAATCTATTTATTTTTTAAATATTTGTCTATTCGTTAGAAGAGTTCATTAAAATAGAACTGTTTGTATTCTTGGAAATCCATTTATACATTGAATATTTTTTTTTTATTTGAATTTCGAAAATATCCTCGTACTGTATAAATTGAATAAGTCATTAATATGCATATATAATAATCTTAAATATTTGAGAGAGAGGGGGGAGGGAGGAATTAGTTTTATTTTAGATTTAACTTTATAGAAATTTATATTGTTAATTCAAATATATTACAATATGTGTGGAGCAAATTTTGTATATAATTATAATAAATAATACTAATAAATTAAAAATTTTTTGTGATAGCTTTTAATAGCTTTTATAATTTTTTAACTTATTTGAAATAATATTTAAATCGATTTTACACATGGTAAATATAAAATTGGCCATTATAAGCATGCAGTACTCTCTTAGGCGTTGTCTACAATACGCGAAGTAAGCTTGGTTTAAGAAGTAAGAGTAAGAAATTGATCAATCACAGTCGATTATTTTTTTCACAATTTTCTGTGATTGGTCAATTTCGTACTTTTACTTCTTGAACCAAGCTTACTTCGCATATTGTAGACAACGCCTTAAACTCTGCGCGATATGAGCTTTATTTGGATATTTTAATTTGCAAATCTGGCATTACATACAAATAAGTCCAGATTTGCGAAAAGAAACAGGAAAATGCCATGAACATATGTTATATAATGTCATCTTATTATAAGGAATTAAAGAAATAAAGAAATATTATCACATTTAGATAGGGCTTTGCTTACTATATTCACAATATTTCGCAAAAAATACAATATTTAGTATATAGAACTTACTTTCTATGTATATTTTTATCATTTGAAGTATTATCTTGTACATATAAAAGAATTATACGTTTGATTGATTTGATACTTTTGTATTTACATTGCGCAATAAAAAAAAACATAATATGTACAAAGATAACACTTCATCAGTATTTCTGATATTTTATTAATTCAGCATTTGCTACTTGTATTTACGTTACGCAATAAAAAAAATAGGTAATGTATATAAAAATAAAACTTTATTAACATATTCCTGAGTTATATGTATAGATAAATGTAAATATTCTAGAATATGTATATATAAAAATATTTCTTTTGTGTTTCTTAGAAAAATATATAGTTTTCTTAATATACAATAACGCATATTATACATCAGAGTAATAATTTACCTGATTTTATTCCTTCATTATTGAGGCAAAAATTTGTTATGCAAATTTAAATATCTATTTTTTTGTATGAAACATAGAGGAGAAAGTTATATTATGTGGCTCTTCTTAATATCTCCGCTATTAGATAACGAATTTTAGTGATTACTTTAGAATTAGTTATTCAATAATTCGCCGTTACACCATGATACTAATATGCTAATACATAATAGTCAACGTTTATATTATAACGCGTTTTTATTTTCAAGTATTTCGAAAGTTTTTAAGATATATTTTAGCATAAGGGGATCCTAAAGACGATTAGCCAAATTGTAAATAGCACTTACAGATGTTTGTCATTGACACATCATTACATCAATATCTCACTCACGCATGCCATACATACTCATAAATTTTTGTATAACAATTACGTTTTAATTAGATGTCTAAGTTCAATTTTAAGAACTTTACCTTGTTTCTTCATGCAAATTACTAGTCTGTGGACTACTATTTTGTAAGTACAGATTGCACAGCTTTTATATCAAGCAAATGTTGTCATGACATATAAGATCTTGATAATAAAATTATGCAGACAAATTAGTGCTTTAATGATATGTGCAGCATTGTTGGGATTGCAGCACATAGTCTTAGCTAATATTTGCCAACGAGAAACTAATATTTCAAACTCAATGATTCTTTTGGCTCCAGATAAGCGATAATTAAAGACACATTCTGCATCTCTCAAATCTTTTCTGTTGTATGGTCGAAATAAATACATTTTTAATGGGAAAATCTCATCTTCCATGAACATATAATGTATAGAAATATTTGTTTTTGCTAAATTTTTAGGTGGAGGAAAATCAACATGTCCATTTTTAAGATCAATTCCAAATTTGGACCTACTTCAAACGCCACCATCACTTATAGATCTTGTAAAAACAATAAAAAAATTTTATTACATACTGTCCACAATAGAAAAAATATTAGGAATAAATATTAAGATTTTAACTTATCAGAAACCGTATATTCCTGTAACCAGCTTCTTATTAGTTAAAATTTTAATTAATACTCATTCCTATTCTTAATGTTTCCTCCATTATGCGCAGACTCTTAGACTCTCTCAAATGTTAATAAAAAAATCATATTTACCGCATTAACCAATGTCGACTTAAGTAAACTTAAACTGAGTACCACAAGTTGCTAATAAATGCTAATAAATTCAACATTGAAACAAAAGTAATAATTTTTGTTCCAATGTTCAATAACTCGGTGAAAAAAAATCGTACAACGTTTCAATAAAAAAAGCAATTTGAAGGTAAGAATTAATTCTTTCTGCTATAAACCGTATTTTTGTGTGATTTCTACTTCATGACTTAGACCTTTGTAAAGTTCGTACAAAATTTTCAGATTTGATGGATATCCATCCGATCGATCCAGCAGCGCCAAGTGTTTATTTCTTTAACTTTTTGTGGTAACACTTTAATGGACAAGGTAACGCAATTATGAATTGTATTCTTTACTTAATTTTGGGATTTAAGTTGGCGCTTGTTGTTGATATCAAATCTTTTATACGAATAATACATATCATTAAAGTTGATATTATTTATTTAATTTGGTATCCGAATTACATGGGATTTAACTTCGCGCCAATTGTTGATATCAAATCTTTTTTACGAATGATACATAAAATTATGTGGAATTTAACTTGGCGCCAATTGCGTTGATATCAAATCTTTTATACGAATGATACATATCATTAGAGTTAAGTAACAAAAAATAGTACCACTTGCGTTTTACTTTTTAATTTGATAGAATTTAACTTGATTAGTTAAGATTGTAGCATCTGGGTTTTATTCTACTAAACAACAAACACGATTAGTCAATTCCACGGCCAATTAAGGGGGAAACCTCCTTTATCGGGTCAAAAAAAATCGGTGTTTTGGAAATAGTCTTAATCGATTGTTAAACTATTCAAGAATATTCCCTGAAAATTTCAAGTCGATATCTGCAGTATTTACGAAGTTACGTAGTTAAAGCGGACAGGTCGGCTGGAGCTGATAGCTGGTGTAAGTGGCGCAAGGATGAGGCAGCAGGTTGTGCAGCGTCATTTAAACATCCCCCTCCTCTTCACCCAAATGTTGAGAAACATTTGCAACCGATCTTCGACGATCTTTCCAATGACAGTCTTTTGGAAAGGTATTTAGGTGGTTACACTCAGAATGCGAATGAAAGTTTCAATTCTACCGTTTGGCGTTTATCGCCTAAACACATTCACAGTGGAGCAAAAATCGTCTGCATTGCTGCGTATATTGCTGCATCGATATTTAACGAAGGCTACAATGCAGTGTTAATGATGATGAACAAATTGGGTATCGAAATTTGGATCCAGGCACACAATTTTTACGTAACGAAGGACGAGAAGCGAATCAACAGACAGAACCGCCGAAGCTATAGCAGCTCAAAAGAGGCAAGAACGGCTCGTAGGATGGAGATGATGGCTCAAAACGAGTTCTACGAGGAAGCGGAGGGGCTACTTTATGCAGCTGGAATCGCTGATTAGCGTGAGATTGCCGTAAGTTGTGAATATGTAGTATTTTTATGTATCCAAAACTTACGCGTTTTTCTCGAAGCACCTTTTTTCGATTTTGTGAACACGATTAAGAGAACTACTGAACCGATTTGGCTTGACCCCTCATTTTAAAGATAATTAAATTCTCTTCGATGTGACATTAATTGTTGAAAAAAAAAATTTTTTCATATTTTTTTTCGTATTTTAAAGTCGATTTTTTTAACGAAAAACGCACTTTAAATTTTAAACCGTGTAAAAACATGCAATTTCGACTTTTTCTTTAAAAAATCGAAATGTCACATAGAAGCTAGTATCATAAACATTACAAAAAATTTTGTTTTTTTTGTTTCAGACCAAAATTAAGGACGCTACAGTGTTCACAGCGGAGACACTCCATAAGCGAGGTGATATCAATATGGCGTCCGTTTTTATAGTAAATCTTTTTTTTTTTTTTTTTTGAAAAAATTCCTGTGTACTCTTTGATTATGTATTAAATTGTCATAAAAATTTCAAAACGTTTCAAGTTATTATACCCTAGAAAAAAATTCGTGAAAATCATGTATTTTTCGACCGTGTAAAGGAGGTTTCCCCCTTAAGTAATTGGCGTTTGCGAAACCGGCCCAAATGATTCTTTACGAAAAGCACGCACTCTTAGCACTTTTTTTAGCTTTTTTTAAAAAGGTAAATTTGTATAAATAACAAGAGACAGTACCATTTGTGTTTTACTTTTTAATTTGATACAATTGAATTTGATTAGGGTAAATGTCCCAATTACTGCCAGTGTCCCAATTACTGCCACTTTTTTAATTGCGGCATTTATATAAAAGTAAGAGATCGTTATACATTAAGTATATTTTTAATATTAAACTATTACTATCATATAAATATAAGCACAACTGTATAAGCTATTCAATATAATTTATATTTATAAAATAATTAAAGAAATTAGGAATGTTACTGAAGATGCAAACTCCATGATCTTCTAATTAGAAATAAAGCGGAACTGCATGATTTGAAAGTGCAAGTAAACGTAGTATTTTTACTTTTTTATATGTATTAAAGCAATTATAATAATGTTTAAATGATATTTCATTAAAATAAGCATATAAAAGTAATGGGATTACTTTTTTATTTAATTTATTGAAATGGTAACATTAGGGACAATCATTTAACGTTTGCTTGCATTACTGCCGGCAGTAAATGGGCGCATTCAGCGGACTCAATAGTTGAGTGAGCGCTCGCTGTAATTATTGGTGTATTCTTTTAGCTCATCCAATCAACCAGAATTTTAGATTTAGAAGAATATACCAACAACAGTGAGCGCTCACTCAACTGTTGAGTCCGCTGAATGCACCCAATGAGTCGTGTTATGAGTGAATGTGCTAGTTATTGTCATAGCCGTCATACACGTTGTTGTTGTGTACGTACACGTGTTTGGTAACCTAGGTAGGTATTTTTAGTGTAAAACGATGTAGAAAATATTATTACTATATAATAATACTTAAAAAATATTTTCTGTTATCTGTATAATGATTAATGTATATATTTTGTTTAGGGTGTTGAAAAAGCTTTTAATTTATATTTTAACCTAAAAATTGGTTAAGGAAAATAAATGTGTAAATACTCTTCTGTTACAATTTTTAGAAATAATTAAAGACTGAAGGATACCTATATCGCAAAAATTAATAGCTTCATACATTTTGTGACTTTGAGCAATGCCACCAACGTCAAGAAAGCGTCGATGCCTCTATACAAAAGATAATTTAAACTCTGTGATGGAAGCAATAAATGCAGGCTCGACTTTTATAGCAACTGCTGAAAAATATAGAATTCCAAGGTCAACATTAAGAGTTAAAATACTAAAAAAATACGAAAATTAAAAATAAGAAAATTAAAATGGAAAAAGATGCAATAAAGGAAGTTTTTTTTTTGTTTTACGTGGGAGGAGAAAATCTTCGTATACCCCTTCCGGAGGGGGACCCTTTCGGGACACCCATCGGGAAGGGGAAGACCCCCGACGGCCCCGTACCGTCGGGAGTGCCGGATTCGACCGTCTCGTGGTCCCTGAGGTACAAGGTACCCCAGGGACACCCCGGGACGGCCGCCTACCGACTAAAAACTCCCCCCCTAGGCGTACACCGCCATTGCCTATGGGGGACAGTCCGGAACCGCATTTCAGCATAACCTCGGACTGCCCCCCTGCCTTTGGAGTCGTTTGACTCCCTACCTTTTTAGCGGGTTTCCCGCCCAAGTGCTAATCTAGCCTAACTTACTTCTACGTTGTTATTACTAATACTCTATGTACATCTTCTTAGCCTATATTTACTATTTACAATATCACGCCTCCTTGTTCCTCTCACATAGCGGTCATCGGAACTTACTATTACTATGCACCCTATATACACCTCTGTTGCTCCTCACACAGTTCGATCATCGGAGCCTCATCCGTTCGGAGGAGCGGCCTGCCCCCGCTCGCGGGCGCGCTCGTCCTCCTCCTTGCTCCTCATTACTGTCTCGCAAAACGTTGCGAAAACAGCCCACGCTTCTGGAGAGCACATGATAGCCCTCACCACCGCCCGCAGCGACCTATCTATTCCAATGACCTCCAGCAGCCCCCCCCTCTGCTCCGCCCAGAACGGGCAGAACAGAAGGGTGTGCGCCGCCGTGTCGCTCGTCGCCCTACAGAATACGCAAATCGGGGAGTCCCGTCGTCCTATCCCATAGAGATAGGACTCGAACACCCCGTGCCCCGTCAAAATTTGGGTGACTCGGTATGTGAGGGCACCATGCGCCCTCCCAACCCATGTCTCCAGATCCCCCCCGATGGCGCCTCGCACGATTGCGCCCGGTCCGCCATGAGGCTGTTCGTTTAGTCGCCTCTGCCATCGCTCGATCGAGCGACGCCGCTCGACCTCTTGCAACACTCCCCCTACGTGTGGGGTCATTGCGCCGTCCCGGGCGAGGATGTCCCGCCTGCGGAGGTAGGTTCGTCTCATACGATCCGCTGCTAGGTCGAATGGGACCATCCCCGAGAGGATAGCCGCCGCGTCGTGCGAGATCGTTCGGTAACCTCTTATTACCCTCAGGGCCAGCTGCCGCTGCAGCTTTCGCACCGCCCCGCATATTCCACGATCCTCTGCCGCCACCTGCGCCCATATGGGTGCGCCGTATAGCAGCACGGATATCACAACCGCCGCGTATGTCCTCCTTCGCTCGCCAGGCCCTCCCACGTTCGCT